CCTTAAAAACATCTATTTCTGCCTCCTTCCCTGGTTGCCTGTCATGCATTTGGATCCTTAGGCAATCGCACACCAGGGTTTGGGTGTTAGCAAGCGCCCCTGTCAAATCCACCCAAAGCGAGCAAGATGACGGGCCAGCCGGTACACACGTGCATGCAAACACGCATCCCCCGTACAGGCATAAAGGCAAAGAGTTATGATATCCAGCTGTGCATCCGACTTGCACCAAGGGGAGCCTTGACATTTTTCTTCCCCCTCTAAATGAATAAGGTCTCCCCATTGCTTTCAGCTCCTTCCTCCCCATCGCATGCATTCCCACCTGTACTCTACCTGTGTTTTGGGCACCAGGGCTCCCCGATCGCCTCCGATCCCTTCATCAGTTTTTTCTCCTTTCTTTCAGCTTCTCTTTCTCCCCTCCCTTTCATTCAATCTTTTAGGGATCCCACCCACCTGCATTGAGCGACGTTGGGCCAAGCCAATGCGGGAGCGTCTCAGGACCGGTGGCCTTATCACAGCTCAGCCAATCGCACCCACGCGAGCAATCAAGGTAAGCCGGGAGGCTGCATCCGCACTGCAGAAATGATCCGGGTTGACACCACTTTAACTGCCATGGCTCCATGCTATGGGACCCTGGGAGTTGCAGTTTGCTGTGGCACCTCTGACACAGCACTTCCAACCTATGGGGACCCTAAGGCAACCCTATCATGGGGATTCCTTGGAAAGATTTGTTCACAGTGGGGGTTGTCATTGCCTTCTCCTGAGGCTGAGAGAGTGGTGACTTGCCCAAGGTCAACCAGTGGGATTCATGGCTGAGCTGGGAATCGAACTCTGGCCTCTAGAGTCATAGTCCAACACTTAGATCACTACATCACAGCAAACTACAACTCCCAGAATTCCATAGCACGGAGCCATGGCGGTTAAAGTGGTGTCAAACCGGATCGTTTCTGCAGTGCAGATGCAGCCTGAGAAAGGCTACTCCTGGGGAAGGCGAAGGGCTTAAAGAGAGGTTGGAGGACAGGAATGGGTGGGTGGCATAAAGCAAAAAGAAAGGAAAGGTAAAGAAAGGGACTGATTTCTCACCTGAGTCCAAGACTACGGCCACATTGCAGAACTGATCTAGTTTGACACTGCTTTAGCTGTCATGG